ACACACACACACACACACACACACACACACACACACACCGTACATTTTTATATATGGAGCAAGAGATAAACAAAGCTAGCATTTTTTTTAACTCATTAAAGGCGCCCATTTTATTTCTGAAATAATGCATCTTTAATAAAAATTTTACATTAATTTTAAAAATAGAACAGAAATAATTTCTAGAAATCTAAGTGAGACAAGTAATCCAAAATCAGATCACTGGAGATGATTCAGAAAAGGAACAGCAACAAAAATACAGAATCTTCGGGATCTTGTTAACGCATGCTAACATTAATCCTATGTTTAAAAGATCCCTTATAAATTATCAGTTTTTTCCAATATAAGTTCTTTCTTAGCATTCATCGCGTTAAAGGAAAATTAACATAAATTAGCCTTTAATGAGTCAATTAACCGAGATGATACGCTCTCCCCGTACTCGTTGTACAATGATTAAATCACGATTAAATCACGATTAGTCGAGACCAACATCATCGTGAGGAGATGATTTCGGGGGATTAAAACGACCAGCCCCAGCACCAGGAAAACCAGGCATACCGCCTGGGAAATTCATCCCGGCAGCGCCAGGCATACCGCCAGCACCGCCGAATTTCGAAGCCATTTTATTGATAAGGGCCATTACCTTGGGATTGTTCTGGTATTTGAGGACATTTGTCGGATTCGTAGAGATCTCCCTGAAGGCCTCGGCCACTTCTGGATCCTACACATTCATTCATAAAAACAATCAAATTGCGCGTCATTGTTGTTGCGCATTAAGATTCATTAAAATTATACGCGATTATCGATAAAAATTATATATTTAATTTCTACTCAATTTCTCGTAATCTTAACTAAATCATTTATTCCTATTCAATTTATTACTATTTTCTTAGTTTGAAGTAAAAGAAAGAAATATATGCTTGAACGTGGAATATTTATTCTTGATAAGTTTAAAATTAGTCCTTTAAAGTCAGAAATTATGTAGATAACATTCTAAAATGTGTAAAATCTATATGTTCAGAGATGGTCATTTTTGTAACTTTCAAATATGAGCGGAAATAAAAAAAATATCTTCAATAGATGTTTATTAAAAAAGTAATTAAAAACTTTTAAATCATTATATAAAACAAAATAACTTTTATTAAAAAAAAATTGTTTTAACTATTATTTAAAAAAATAGCTAATTGCGAATGTATACACTTAAAAAACATACTATATATACGTATACTAAAATTAATGAAATTTCAATATCGAGAAATATTTTTGCGTTACTTCACATTTTTCTTTGCAATAGCATGTATAACTCGTTATATTTTCCAAAAAAAAGACCATGACTGATATTGTCAATTTATTAAAAAGACTATGATTTTTTTTTCTCGCGAACTTACCTCGAAGGCTTGAAGTACATCAGGATCTTTAAGAAACTGATAGAAATCTCCTACGCCAGGAGATGTATTTCCCGCATCCGTTTGAGAAGTTCGCGTATTTTCCTCTCGAGCTTTGGCTGCCTCTCGCGCTTTCCGCACTCTTTCTTGTCTCTCGCGCTCCAATTTTTCTTGCGCCTTCCGTTCC